GCTGGCTCTTAAGTAGTCTGCATTGTCGTGGCCTTCCGAATTATTCCCCTCCTCGTCTCCCTCGCTGACCCTTGCGTGGTGGGGCAATTCGTCATGAATGGTTCCATCGAAAAGTCAGGCACAATTGCGCCAGATGGCCGGCGTGCCTGTACCTGCGCATTCGTTAGCCAAATGCTTAGTGAGGACTACTGCGGAGGTGCCGCGCGCGGCTTTGACAATTGATGAGTGAGGGTTGGATAAGCAGCGCGACCAATGACGTGTGCTAGCGGAGCGGGCTCGGCGTCTTCGTGATGGATTGGTGACGGGTGATTCAGACGTCTGGGGGGTCGCCGCTTGCCTCGATTGGGGTAAGATGATTCTGGAATGGGGAGATAGCCGAAAAATTCGGGCCCGCCAGTCGCGCCTGCCTTCTACCCCTCCACCAACTGTATCGCCCCTGCCTCTGCCGATGCCATGTCCGTCCTGGCGCTCGGAAAGGGCGCATAGCATTCCGTCCGTTCCTGCCTCTGCGAATGTCTGACTGGGGAGGAAACAACCGCCAGTTGACTCCCATTGTGCCTGCAGTGTGAGAACTTGTCGTATGCCTACCGAACCTACTACCTCCTTGAGGTACCTAACTACCTTACAGAATCTTGACACGGTTACTGGTGCAACATGCAGCCCTTCAAACGCATCCCACCGCCAAGGAGCAGATCATACTCCGACAGCCTTTCACGGAGCCTGTCACGGAGCCTGTCACGGAGCCTGTCACGGAGCGTGCCATGTGGCGACCCTCATCGGGGGCGGCGACGCAGTCAGCACTCAAATCCACGACCCCTGCTGGGCATGTCACTCGAGACGCTCGCTGTCTGTCAGTCAGGCAGCTAGCTAGCTACTTTGCCCTTCCTGCGACCAGGGCTTCATCACACCAGATGCGGCCGATCGATCGAGACAAGGTCCGCTCCTTCAAGCCCTATTGTTTTCGGGCCCTGTCGTCGAAGGAAGTCCGACCCGAACTCGACATTTGGATTTCCAATCGTCATTTGTAGTGCATGCATGATCAAAATAGCTGCCCGCTGAGCAAGCACAGCAATGGACCGTTGGTGTGGGTCTTCTCTGCGCCGTACAGTGTCTTAGTCAACACCCGCGCGGGTAGCTCCACCTTGAACTTCGATACGTACCGCCCGCGCGCCAAGCCACCCCACCAACGGCGGTCAGTCGGATCCCGGCGATTACCTCTCCGCTCAACACCACACCAACAGACTGACATACTCGAAACATTCACCACATCAGATGCAAGCCGACTGACCTCGCACAAAGAAATTCACATTTCGGCTCCTACGCACGAGTTGCCTATTGCTGCAATCAGCTATCTCCCTGGATCACCCGCCGCGTTGTCGCCCGAACCCTGGGTCCAGACGTGATACTGGAACAGCAGCCAGAGAACCAATATCGCCAAGAGGAACTGCCCCAGCTCGGTGCCCCAACTGGCTACAAACTTACCGTGCAGTATCGTCACAACCAATACGAGCACCACTGCTATGTGCAGCAATCTAAATATGTAGATCTTGCTGACCTCCTCGTTCATTCGAATACCCCAGCCAATGCATGGCTCGCGCGGAATGCCACCACTGACGCCGCCGCGTCTAACCAGGGGTTCTCTCAGTTTCGTTGGGAACGTCGTCAGCCAAAAGTCATCAAGGTGCTGTCCCGGTTCCATGAGGTGATCCAGGGGTATGTCATAATACTCGACCTCCATCGGTCGTGGATCATAAATGTATCGCAGTTCTTCAATCTCCTTCTGCGGCGGCAATTCTTTTGTCTTAAAATTCCGAGGCGAGAGTCGCAGCCGGATGGGTACCAGGTTGAACTGTGTGACACGTCAGCGGCTTGCAGTTGTCTGTGGAACCTGCGCCTTACCCGCACGAAATCGCCATTGGAAACCTGGTATAGATGCCCCGTCCAAGCCTTTTTCATAGGTTTGAACATCGCTGCCACGCGCGGCAAGTCCGGAAGAGAGGCCACGAAGCGGTGCCAGAACTTGCTGAACCACTTTGGTGAAGGTATTGAGACGTGTTACGGGTTCTCCCTTCGAGCCGTTTCATACTCTTCGCGGATACGTCTGAACATTTGCTCGTCGTTCGTCATCGACTCTACACTGATCTGTACTAAGACCATCACCTCGGATTGAATGCAGAGAAGCAAGTACCGTGCACCGCCCGTTTCAGGCCGCTGGAGCTGCCCAGCAGTTTCGACTGTAGGCTGGCCTGGCGTTTGTGCCTGTAGTGAAGATCCTCCGAAGCCAACACCACTGTTAACGGTCCCTGAATAAGTCCCAAATGCTGAAGGAGTAGATCCGCTGAGATGTGCTGGTGGCGGTACTGTAGGATGCCCGCTACTCGATGAGCCCGTAGTCGCTGCCCGCGATCTGACGTTAGCTGCACTCCTCTCGAGTCTCTGACGCAGACGGTTGATGCCCCCTGGCACAACCTCTCGCAAGTCCATCGAAAGGAGCTTTCCGCAGCCCTGAAAACGTTAGCTTCCTTCAGACCATTGGCCTTGGTTTCACGTACGCATCGGAAATACAATCTTTCATACCCCGCGGCTGGTGGTGAGAAATATGTGACCCAGCGTTGCCAAAAACAAGGTACACCCATTGTTGCGGGCTGTCCGAGAATCGCCACATCCTCTTGTTTTGTGATTTCCTTGGCATCTTCCCTTTTCCAAATGAGCAGGTAATATCGACTTTTCCTCAGAATTGGATCATTGTCATCATAGGCAACCTCCAGCACCTTGATACATTCGCTCAACATAAACACCGCGTGTTCCCGTCGTCCATACTTCCGAGTTTGGAACGCCAGTCCTACCATGGTTAGTAGAGTTCGAGGGTGAATGTTGCCTTTCCCCCATGCCTCCATGTCCATTATTTCCTTGACGACAACTTCGAACTCCGCCCAGCGATCCTGATCTTGAGAGGCATATATAGATGCCAGCTGGGCCATGTTCCCAATGACATCTGGATTGTCACGCCCCAGAGATGTTCTGCTTCTCTTCATGACATCAATCAGAATATGCTCAGCTTCTTCCCACCGCGCACAGTCTTCCAGGATGTTTCCGAGTTGTGTCATAGCCGCCAGTGTTTGGCGGTGGCTCTCGCCGAAGACTCGTGCATTGGCTTCGACCAATTCACGAAATAAAGCCTCAGCTTCTTTCCACTGTTTTTGTCCCACAAGCGTCATTGCATGGTCCATCCTGATCGATAGCGTATTGGATGCTCATCTCCCAGGGTTTCCCTCATTGCTTCCAAGACACCCAGACTCAATTTCTGTGCTCTCCACCATATGCCGTTCTTCAAGAGTGTGCTGACAAGGCCCGCTTTGCACTCTAAGGTCAAAGAACCAGTGGCCCCAAGAGTGTTTTCTGAGAGAGTGATGGACCGTACAAGCAATCTCTTGGCATCCGGGAGCGCTTCACATGTCAACAAAAGCATTGCAAGGCGGTGTAGGTTCTGCGCCGTTTCTAGGCCCAGCCCCACGGAAGTTCTGTACTGCACCTCGATCACTTCCTCCACCAGACAGGCCGCATCGGACATGCTGGAGCTCGGAGTCTTGCTGTTGCCTGCAGCAAGCGGTGATGTTCGTGGTGCGTTGAGCAGTCTCTCATAACTGCGCAAAGGCTTTGTCCAAGATCCACATCTCATCAACTGACTGTTGTTTATTGAATGATATTTCCTTTGGCGAGGGGCTGTGGGTAAGGGTATGTTCCCTGGCAAGCACAATCTGCCTCAAAACCTCCGATTGCCGTTGGCTCTGACCAGTATCGCGGAGGAGCCGTGCCAGTGTGTTCAAGGTAGCGAGAGTTCTATCGTGGGCCACGCCGAGAGATGACTCCTGAATGGAAACCACATCCTCCATCATTTTAATTATGTTTCCCGCCGGCAGCTGGTTTTCTTGAACACAACGGCCTGTATTGTAGACGATGGATGCCCAGTCGTCCCGTGCCTTCTTTCCTTCGGGCAAATATTTGAACGCATTTTGCCCATGAAGAACGAGTCTGAGATGAAGGAACCGACGGGGGCACAGTGTCGAAGTCTTTGGAAGACGGATCAAAGGCTTTGGCCAGCCGCGCAAGAAACGATTCTCGGTGTATCACCAGTTGCCTTGATGCTTTCGGATACCGAAGCACGGCGGCCTTTATGCGAGGGAGAATCTCGAGGCCACGCTGAAAGACCTCGCAGCCGAGCTCGACATCGCAGTACGTGTAACTTGTCGTGATCAGATGTAGGCTTCTCAGAATACCAATTTCTTTATCCTTGTCTGTCTCCAACGTCGAAAGAGACGCACAGGACGGCGCCGCAACTAAGCAGAGAGGTATATCTCTGTGGTGAAAAAACACAATGAGGCGAGGTGGTCAATTGCCTAAGCTTCAGTTTCCTCGAGTGCTTGAAGCACGGCAGACCGGTTTGGGTCCGCAATTCTATCCATTGCTTGTTTCTTGTTGATCGGAAGACTCATGGTCGTATGTAATAGTGTCCAGAGCGTGCATTTCCGGCTATCATCGATCTCTCGGATAGCAAGAGGGTTGAATTTCAGCGCGGTAACGAGCCTTTTCGACATTTCCACGTTGCGGTCAATACCTCCATGGTCCTGCAAAAGGGTGATGGCATCCATCATGCTTGGCGATTGTAGGCGCACAGAACGAATTGATCCCCTGAAGCCATCGCCAAAGATTACAATTTTCCTTGTTGTGAAGACATGGAACACGTTTCTGCCTCGAGGGAGGTATTCCGCCATCCCCAGCCGATTCATGGAGGCATTGATTTCACTTCTGAGTAGCAGCTCTTCGTCGTCCGCTCGGTCCACGATAACACACCACATCTGTCTTTCGTCTTCGAACCACTTTTCGAACTGCTCCAAGTTCTCTCTTCTTGTCGCAAGACGCATACGGCGTCCCGATTCCTGGTAGGGATCATGTCGGAGGAAGGGCGGCGCACTGCCAAAACTCGCCTTGGCCTTTCCAGCGAGCGCCTGAAACCCTCCCTCAAAGTTTTCCAGGCATCTGCATGGATCTCGAGAGTCTTGAGTCCTGGATGGACGGTCTGCAGCCATTTTGCCGCTTCCCTGGCAACAAGGGTTTTGCTATACGCTCGTCAGTTCGGTTCCCAGATGAGGAGCGACAAGGCGCGTATACCCGACCCCTATTTCGCCCTCTATCACGATGCTATTGCCGATTCTATACTCCCTCTGAACTGTAGCGAGGGCACGCTGCTGGTTGAGGAAAAGCCGACGGTGCGGTGGCGCCTTGTCCGGGGGGCCAGTCTGTGCGGCCTTTTCGCTTGAAGCACCCGGAACTTGATCTGGGGAGCAATCGTCCTTTCCCATTGTTTTTCGTTTCTTATTGTCCGTAGCGTTCTTGACTGACACGAAGATGGAAAGTGGAGAGAGGCCAAGAAGATGAGGGGTTGTCGATATGGTGGTCAGCATCCAGCCTCGTCGTGAGGTGACATGTTATCATGTGACTGCCACGTCAGTGAACAAGCCTTGTCCTGGATTTGATGCACAGACATAGGAAAGGCGTGGTACAACCGTCAGAGGGCTCACATGGGTAAGAGTGTGAGTACAACGTTGAATTGCCTCGCATGGCACTATGCCCGGCCTTATAAGCTGTCAGGCCAGTCTGATACCGGGACCATCACTAGTATTGCTGTCAATGCTGGATTTAGAGCAGAGTGAGAAAGTCTTCTACACGTAGTTCACAGGCAATAGAATATAGGAAGGGGATCGGAATCAATCAGAATTCTCGCCCTCCGTACCTCACAGGGCCCTCCCCAGTCCGTATATTGTCGGTGCTCGATGTGGTGCAGAATGAAGGGGTCCTCTACAAGGTCCGCAGACAATTAGAATATAGGTTAGGAGTCGGAATATATCTGAATTCTGGCCTTCCGCAGCTTGAAGCTTGGAGGGTCCTCCGCAGTCTTTATACATACCTTTTTCGTAACCCTTAGCCTCCGCCCGACGCACCTGACTAGCCCCCTCTGCCGTAGCTCCGCAGAGGTCTCCTGACCAGTGCAGCACGACCTGGATTTAATCTCCTATTTGAACTTTCTAGTGGCATCACCAGTATTGCAGTACGACCTTTATTCAATCTCACACTTGAGCTTTCTGGTAAGTCTTGGATACAGATAGTTGAAGGCCGCGGACGTGACTCGTTTGCAGGGTTGAGCGGCACGTCATTTTGGAGAACTCCATGTTCCCAGTTGTGCACAATAGCACTATTCTCCCTGAATAAGCGCCCGACCTCCCCCGTAGACCCTGCGCCTTCGGAAATCGTGCAATGTCAAGCCGGATGAGCCTTCGTGTTCTGAATGCGTGACATTCAGGTAAAGGGTAGCAGTTGGCTTTCGGCTCAGGGCCAGCATGTGACCGATCCCGTCAAAACACTGCACGACCCAACAGCACAGGGCCAAGTGTTTGTAGTGCTCAATTATTCTGGCTAGCTACGAAGAGTATCAGACAATTGGCGCGGCTTGAGCCATCATTCTGTTATGTAAAGAGTAGAACAGCGAAACCCATATTTGAAACTTGCCGATCTGAACTCAAACTCGTCTTCACCGTACTGCTTACGCTTGTCGATACATCAGTGCGATGCGGGGGCACTAGGTGATACCAGGCCACTTCATCTCGACGAGTCCGAATTGGGAAGTCTGCATCGATTCAATAGGCGAGAGCCACAGGCTGAGCTCGGAATGTTAGGCTACTGTACGGGCCAGAGCCCAATGGACACCGTCAGCAGACCGGGGCCGGATGCAACATCTTCCTGCTGTTGCTGTGTTCTGGGTTATCATGCTAGACGCGGCCGGGCACTGAACGGCGGCGACGGCGGGGCGTGACGGTACTGGAGCTTGAGGTGCTGTAGGCGTTTACGCTCACTTTTACGGTCACGGTCTAGGAGGATGGTCGGTGGAATTATATGATTGGTGGTTCGATGCTGGCGGGCTTTATCGAGTTCGGGCTGGAGTTCACCGTTTGTTCGTTAAAATGGATGACCTGGTGTACTGTCGGTAGCCCTACGGAGTTACTAAGAAGTGTGAGTCGATTAGGAGGGCTAAGGGCTACGAGAACGTATTGATAAGGATCAAGGAGGACCCTCTAAGCTGCGGAGGGCCATATTCAGATATATCTCGACCTCCGACCTATTGTATATTGCCTGCGGACTACGTATAGAAAACCTTTTCATTCTCCTCTGAATCAAGCACTGAAAGATACGGTGGCCGTGGAGTGATTTATGTTTGCTGTCCTAGGAGGGCTGATGCGTTCTCGATGGTGCCCCTAATCTGGCCGTACTCTGGAGAAGAAGAACAACAACAGAAGATAGATAGACAAACCTCAAGTTTACCCAAGCGTCTGCAAGAAAGTGGATGGACAGAGGGTACGCACTGGAGAAGCTGTCTTATGTCCTCTGACAGAATCGTTCTACACGCCTCATAGGTGGATGCTCCATTAAGTTGCTGCTGATCTACTGTGCCTATGGACCTTCACGGTAGTCAAGCAGAAGTGCCCAGGTTCTCTGCCACGCTCTCATGAGCTTGATCCTATCACCTTTCCAGCAGTTCCGTACATTGACAGTGCAACCATCGCCATGTTACTGAAGGCCGTGGCACTTGACCATCCTCGTATTTGCTACATAATACAACCACAAATCTAACCCCAAACGCCATCCATGCCAACAAGCATGCAGACTGAGCACCTCGAAATGTCAGCTGCAATCCAAAACATGCCCACCACCCATTTGTCTACCGTAATGCACCAATTGTGCAGTCAAAAAACTTCGAGGTCAGGCCCCCGAGGACCGACTCGATTCCCAACGCCGTCTACTCGATCCATGTCGATGATTCATTCGTTTTGTCGGACCTTCGTTCACAGACACCCTAGGCAAGTCCGGCCGGAGATAAGACCCGGCCGCCAGAAATCCCCGAGCCCCAACAAAGGCCGTAATTGTGCGGCGCAGCACCCGTAGGCACTTGCTGCCCTCGTGATATGTACTCTGATGCAACCGCTGCGTCCCCGGCTCACCAAGTCTCGGCGATATACTGACCGGCCTCTCTCTTGAGGTCCCAGTATTTCCTGGCCTCCTCGCGCTCGAGGTTGCCCTTGGACATGGCAACGTCGACGAGGGCATCCTCGACGCCCTCACCCATGCCCTTGCTGCTCCCGCAGACAAAGACGCGACCGTCGACGGCATTGGCAATGTACCAAACGAGATCGGCCTGGTTACGCACCTCCTCCTGCACATAGCGGCCCTCGCCGGTGCGGCTCTGGATGACGCGCTTCACCTCATCTTCGTGCACGCCCCACTCGCCCGAGTAGATTTCGTCGACAAGCGAGTCGCGAATGCCCTGCAGAACCCAGACCTTGTTGGCGCAGTTGGCCGTCTTCAGACGACGCTGGACAAAGCCGCGGAAGGGGGCGATGCCGACGCCGGCACCGATAAGCAGCATGGGACCATCCGAGACGAACTGCTTGGCAAGGGGGTTGGCCATGAGGCCCTTGAACATGGGGACATAGAACTCGGGGCTGCTCTCGCCGGCCTTCTGAGCGGCAAGGAACTTCTGGGCCTGACGCTCAAAGAAGCCGGAGCCAATGCCGGTGCGGGTGCCGTGGAGCCAGTCAGCGGACTCATGAACCGTGACTGCAATCTCGACGAGACGGTGCACCTTGCCATCACGAGTCTTGTACGAGTCGTGAGGGTCGTTCGACAAGGAGTAGAAGCGCGGCATCAGAGGCTGTAGGACGGAGAGAAGTAGGTCGAGAGGCGGATGAGAGCTTGGGAAAGCGCTCAGCAGCTGAAAGAGAGAGACGTGAGGGCCGGTGCGGAAGTCGCAGAAGACGCCCTGGCCTTCGGCGGCGCAGAGGTACATCAGGAGCTTCTTCTCGTTCTCGTCGGCGGCGTACTCTGCAAGGATGCGGAGGAGATTCTTGGTCGGAGGGTAAGACTGAATGTCGGAGCACCAGGTGAGCAGGTCGCGTCGGGTGGTCAGGAGCTCTCGGGGCTCGTCCTCGCCCCAGACAGTAGGCCATCGGCCTCTGGACGTCTTCATGAGCACAGGCTTGTCGCGCACGAAGCGAGGCACCATCAGGGCGTCGAAGACGTCGTCGACCATGGCGGGGTCGTTGGGGGCCATGACGCCAATGGCGCCGCCGACCTTGAAGTCGGTGCCATCTTCCTCGGGGTACGAGGAGATGTCGATATCGAAGTGGTAGGTACGCTTCTCGGCACCAGGCTTGGTCAACTCGCGGGCCGAGTCGATGCGGGCGGCAAAGACGTGGTGAGGAGGGTGGGGCTGGACGTAGTTGGGCGGTTGAATCTTGGTGTTGACGTCCTCGAGAGAAAGACTCGCCACCTTGTCAGCCGGTGGGGTCGTTGGGCTGGCATGGGCGCCGACAGAAACAGCCGAATCGGCAGTCGAGGGGGCGGGCGAGGTGCGGCGCGGAGGCTCGAAGAAGACTGTCTGTTCGGGCAGGTCGGTGATCTTGGTGAGGAGGGTCGGGCATTCGCCAATCCTAAGAGCGAGAGACCTGAAGGCGTGGTTGTCGGGGAGGGGAATGGACTCGTACTCAACGCCGGCCTTCTTCACGCCGGCCTTCATACAACAGCCGCCACCGCAGCACCGCTCGATCAATTGGGCGGTAGACTCGCCGGTGATGCGCTGGATATCAGCCGAGTTCTGCGCAATGAGTCTCGTAGACGCACGGCGGCGACGCAGAGGCTCGACCGGCAGCTGCTCCTCCTGGTCTTCCGACTCTTCGGAGAAGGTCAAGGAGGGGGCAATGGAGGGGGTTCGGGGCTCCTCGGGGATGCATCCTGTAGCAGCGGCAACGAGGGCCGAGACCTTTGTCGTCGCGGCCATTGCGGTTCTGTTGGGGAGGTAATACAGAGGGCGACTGGCGTAGGAACGGAATTGGAGAGGTCGACAGAGGTGAGGCCTGTCGAGGGGAGGAGAGGGCCGTGTCGGGTGTGGAGGTTGTCGGGAGAAGGGTCTTGATGTAGGGTGGCGTAAAGTGGGTGGGTTCACATTTACGCGAGTCGTCAGGAAGCCGAGGGCATGACGATGGGGGGGCGTTGAAGTGCCGGTAGGGAGAGGAGGCACGGCGGTGGTATTTGGGGCGGACTGTTGGTAATAATGGACTTGGTCGATGACGGATTTCTTGTCAAGACAAGAAGAGGCGACGGCAGTGTGTGTCGGGTTGGACAGTTGAGGAGGTGAAAGGGGACAGTTCTGAAAAAAAGTGGCAGACCGAGGGGAGAAAAGAGAGGCGACACGGGCACGGTACGGCTATGCTCTTGCCCGTGCTCGTGCCATGGTCGCTACTGCCACTGCCACTATCATCGCTGGGTTCGGATTTGGGGAAGGGGAGGAGAGACTGGCTTGGGACCCATGTCCTGGGGACACTTTGCTGGGACAGGAGTGGCCAGGAGCGATGGTGAGGGGTGGCAATAGAGACGACATGTGGTCATTGCACGCTCAGCACTTGAGCATTGGTGAGCATGAGTGGACAAGACCACTGTAATCAGCGATTGATGAGATAATGATAGTCAGCCGTTCATCAGCCCACCCCTTTTCTTTACTAAGATCGCCCTCTCCCCCCTCCTCCCTCCTCCTCCGGTGCTCGCCGACCGACCCCAATGCATGTCAAGTGCCAGTGAGCCCGCCCCAGCCCAAACGAGCCCAGCCCCAGTAGTGCGTGGCTACCATTCCGAGGCGCTGGAAAGCAAGGGCAGAGAAAAAAGTTTTGGGCAGACCAGGCAAGCCAGGCAAATGGGCTCGGCTGATCGAGGGGCTGTCGCTTGTCGTTTGTCTCTCAGTGTCTGTTGTACCTCTTGTCCCCAAGTTCCCCTTCACCCACGCCCCCTCATCGTGATCCACCAGAGGGCCCTCTCTCAGGCGTCTCTTGTGCCTTCGATTACACTCGACATTGTAAGGGGGCAGCGAGAGGGCCAGCATCGCTCGTGCATATCATGTACATTACACCATTGCGCGTGCGATTGCGCGCAGCCAGCGATTCGCGGACCCTTTCCTCCACAATTCCCTAATGGCTTGCAGCCCTACCTTGTTTGGTTCCGTGATAGGAGATGCCCAACTCGCGAGTGCATTCCCGGACGAGTTGCCGCGCGGAAAACCACATTTTCCATCTTTTAAAAGCAAACTGGGCATTATTTTTATGGGCGCCCAACAGATAAGCCGAAATCA